AGTTCTGATTTGGAGTTTAATTTTTTATTTATTTATTTTTTTGTTTATGAAGACGGTAGCGTGGCGTGGCTATGTCTCATGCTGGTTGCAGTTGTGGCAGCGTGGAGCCCAGAAGCGAGAGGTGCGCGTGAGCGGTAACGCGCATGGGGAGAGCCCCAAGTGGTCTTCCGAGTCAGGGCGCTGCCCTCGGTCAAGACTGTCTTAGCTTTCACGAGCGGTTCTGGAGTCCCCAGTGTTGGAGAAGTGGGAAGGTAATCCTTGTTCCTCATATTATATATATTATATATATATAATATATATATATATATATATATATATTAATCTCGTTTACCACATCAAAACTCCGAGTTCAGCCCACCCAGGGGGATCTCCTGTCCTGTGGTGCTGAAGTTTCAAGTGTAGGGATCAGAGCTTTTTTTGAGGCCCTTCTTAAGACCTCACCCTGAGAGTAGGTATAAAGATAATCCCCGGAAGGGAACCAATCTGTTTCCAACTCTCTGAATGACCACAAAACGAATCAGACCATGGCAGTCACCCTGGAGCCTTTCAAGGCTGCAGGGGGACGAAAGAAAAGCCAAAAGCAAGCCGAATGTGTCCGGCCTGCTGAACCGAGCAAGGACAAGACAGAAACACCAAACACAAAGTCTGTCCATGCACACCAGACTGAGGGAAACCTGAACTCCCCTCAGAACTCCCTCAGTCAAGAAGGGGCTCCAGCTGAACCAGCCAAACCAGCTGCCCCCACTTCCAAAGGCCTTAAACCCCTGCAAAGGGGAGGCGTGAAGCGACGAAGGGTGGAAACTGACTCTGAAGAAGAGGCAGAGCACACCCCAAGTCGACTAACGCGGTTTAAGGTACCAAAAAAACCTGAAGACTTCGACAATGCATACCAGCTGGTAAGGGCATTGGAGAAGGAAAGAAACGTAAGACTATCTAGAGATGAGGGCATGATCATTGCCCCCAAAGACAAAGCCACCATGAACTTCCTGCAAGAAATCAAGGTGCTAAAAGACGGGAGAAAGGTGTGTATCTCACCACTGACCTCCCAAGAGAAAAAGTCCAAGATGGTGCTACTTGGCTTTCCACTAGGGTTCGACGTGGTGATCACGTCTCTCCACAAGTGGTGGAGGCTTCCGCATGACCAAAAGTCTCCAATCAAGTCCCCAATCACCACCTTGATTAACTGGGCTCATACAAACTCAGGACATATGTGCCAGAGCCCTTGAGGTGTTTCACGTGCCAAAATTTGGGCATCACCAGGCCAACTAGGCAAAGCCAAATGTGTGTTATGCAGCGAGGCACACGAAAACACACAAAGATGGCAGGACACAACAGCCAAGTGTCCAAACTCCATCATGCCTGGAGCCTGGCTTGCTCTGTCAGGAAAACAGGCAGTGATTAAAAAGCAGGAGCTAGCCAAAAAGTGTCCTGCCCCAGGCACCTACGTCTGGGCAAAAACAAAAACAAAACCAAAAAGAAGACTCCCGACCTCCTAAGAGGAAGGAGTCGCCCCCCACGAAAATTGGATACCTCTAACAGAGAGGAATTCCCCAAGTTGTTAGTGGCAAAACCACAAAAAGAACCAAAGGAAAAACGTTCAAAGTCCACAGCAATGGTCCCCCAGAAGAATCTTTCTTTGAGAAGGATATGACATTCCTGTTGAGTGCTGTAGTTTCTGCAGTAGCAACAGCCTTGGGGAGGACCAGTGAGGAGGCGGAGAAAGCAGTGCAGGTCGCAATGACGTATATGACCCAAACTGTGGCAGCTCTGAAGGGAAGGAAGCTAGAAGCCTCCAAACCGATAACGAGCAGCGCTCCCCTCCCTAAATCCTTGGATGGCAGGCTAGCTTCGAGAGAAACATTACATGAAACCCCAGCTAGTCTGTCAGGACAGGCTGAAACTGTGCAGCAGGCCGAGTCTGTACAGCCAAAGTCTCGTCCCCTGACCCGGGGTCGCACTTCCAACCTAGGCCCTACACCCCTCGGTAGAGCCTTAACCGGAGTGTCTGACTTAGAGGAAGTTGTACAATCCTCAATCAACGAGGATCTGTATTTATCTGATGCCACCAGCACTAGGGCATCTGAAGCAAGTGACAGTGAGTAACCATCATGGCACACAATCTAAGCATACTGCAGTGGAATATCTGTAGCTATAAAAGCAAGAACTCCTTTCTCCAGTCAATTGTGCGAGCAAGGAGCATTGACGTCGTCATGCTCCAGGAGACACTAACTATGGGATCCGTGTGCTCAGGATATCATGCCTTCACCACTCCAAACCTGGATGGTGCTAGAGGCCTGATGACCCTGGTAAAAGAAGCTATCCCGTGCTCCCTAATAGCCAACCCGCCGCACTGTGGAGATGGTGTTGAATCTCTTGCTGTTGAGATTCAGCTACCTGGGGGCCCTATAAAAATATATATTTATAGCAAACCACTGTGTGAGAGCTTAGATCTA